GAGGGACCACGTGCATTAAGCTGTATGTGGCAGACCAGAACAGGGACCTTTGGAGCCTTTGTCCCCAGCCTATAGAGCGCATCAATGTCGTAGACACGCCTAGGCTTCCTGAACGGGGCACTCCCAGATGCAGAGGCCTCTGGTACCCACTGGGGCCATTCTTCTCTCTGCAGGGTCTCACTGTGCTGGTAGGAAATAGCTTTAAGTTACAGCGAGGTGTCTGGCAGACATGAGCATCACCGCTGGTGTCACGTTAAGGACACAGAGCAGTGGAAATCGATCCTGTGGACATTCATGTAAAATTCATTTATTCTTTTTATTCTTACACCAAAGCTTTATTTTTGATAATTTCTGAGTAGAATTTTTATTGAATTGCTCACATAATGAACTGAAAATGACTCTTTACCCGTATGGTTTACGTTTTGCCCAGTGACTGATGGAAACATGGTCTTAGAGGGAAATGTTTATCATATACACAAAAACAATATTCTCCAGCCTTTCAAAAATCGCTTTTTGAATGATAAAAAGAAAAGCCAATGCCAGGAGGAAGAGAGGGAGATGGGGTAGTATGAAAAACATAGGGATTTAAACTCTAAAGCTGATGTTTTATTTTAAAAAATAAAAGGATTAGAAAGAGCTGGGTAGTGGGTACTTTGGTGTTTATTCTCTGTATTTGCCTCTAAGCTTAAATGCTTTGTAATAAAATCATTTGGAGGCACCTTTTGCATAGCATTAGAGCATGTCAGGAGGTAAAATGACCATTATAATTTATTTTTGTTACAAATCTTCAACTTGATAAAATTTAGGAGAGGCCCATTAGTTTGTGTTGCTGGGTATCTCTCTCTCTCTTTTTATAAAAACATATGCTTTAGAATCTTAATCAGTTTAATTGGGCTTTTGCCTTCATATTGGGTGAATCTTACTTTTTCAAGTCTGGTTAAGGAAAAATCAAACCAAGATATGAAAGGAGAAGATGTTCAAAACCGTAGTTAACAATGGTTTTTATTCCAGTGGGGGGCTGGCAAGATGCCCTAGTGTAGGCTTACTCAGAGATGCCACGTGCCGTTTTGCTCTCCCCTGTCTCTTATCTGCTGGTGGAGGTACAAGCCCTTTGACTTGAAGTCAGCATGACAGAGCATCTGTTAGCTGCTTCTGTCACCAAGCACACTGGAGCAGCCCTGGCCACGCTCCTCTGGAGACACGTACTTGATTGTGCCCATCACACCAGGGAGGTGAATCCAGCAATAGTGTGATCTGCTGAACATGGGCCCCTAAAGATTCTCATCCCTAGATCCTCCTTGTAAACATGTTACCTTAATGGAAGAAGGGACTTCGCAGGTGTGATTAAGTTAGAGTCTTGAGATGGGGAGATGACACTAGATTAGGTGAGTGGTGGGATAGCATCACACAGACACTGAGGAGAGGGTAGTAGGAAGGTCCAGGTCAGAGGGAGATGTGGCCAAGGAGGCAGAGGTGAGCTAAGGCATGGGAGCAGCCTCCAGACTGGAAAAAAGTGAGGAACAATCTCCCCGAGAGCCTCCAGAAGGCACAGAGCACCTTGATTTTAGCCCAGTGAAAGTGGTTTTAGACTGCTGACCCCTGAAAGTGAAAGGCAATAAGTCTGTGTTGTAGTCACTAAGTTCTGGCTGATTTCTTACTGCAGCTGATGGAACCTAATACAGAGAGTTTTGCACTTGAGAAAGGATGAGCAAGGGCTTGGCAGAGGAGTAAGACTTCTTCCCCATCAGAGGTAACCAGGCTCACTGAGAGCTTGGACGGGGCTCGGCGGTGCTGGCTTTGAGTCCAACTGCTTGAGTCAAAATCCTGGCACCACCATTTATTAGCAGTGTCATCTTGAATAAGTGGACCTCTGTCTGCCTTTGTTCTCTCATCTGTAAAATGGGAATGATAACAGAACTTGCTTCAGAGGCTTGTAATGAAGTTAACTGGCATAATCCACACCGAGCGCTTACATAGTACCTGGCACAGAGCAGGGGTGCTATAAAGGTTGACTGTTATTATATAAGCCCTCGGCTATTCAAGGCTTTGCCCTGTGTTTGTGGTTGCTGAAATTTATTGGCTTATGTAATAAGGCACTCATTCTTTTGGGAACCACATGAATTATGCATTCTTCCCTCATAAACACCCAAAAGAAGTACCCACTCATTCTGGGGGCAGTGACATCTTGGCTAAATGCACAAGTCCTGACCTGGTGGGGTCTTTGTTTTCTCTTAATAGGGGCACACAAACAAAGTTATATTTGTTTGTGTGTATGAAACCGATCTTTTTCTTGCGGGGAAATATGTTCATGATTACCTGTTTAGGTCTTCACTCAGAGAGCCCTTGGGTTTGTGTTCTTCTTCCTTTCCTTGTGCTTGCAGTAGGAGGATTTTCCTAACATAAAAATAAAATCTCAGGGTAAGGAGGACTACATGCAGTGTTTGGGAGCAGGGTGCATTTAGGGTCATTGTAGCTCTGAAGTTACGAGATTGGGGAAAACTTGACAGATCATGACCAGTAGTTGGCTTATAGCATGGTGATCACTCATGGAAGGCAGACGCTCACTCAAATTCTGTCTTCCTTCACCTAGAACACCTTCTGATAATGAAGTCCTCTGGTACTTTCTAATATCCCTGTCTATGTATATATTTTTTTACCATTTAACTTTTCTTTCATCATGATAAGTGTACTCTTTAATGCCCTATGTTCCCCATCCCCACACCTGCCTCCCCTCCAGTAACCATCAGTTTGTTTTCTATAGTTATGAGTCTGTTTCTTGTTCCCCATCCCCACACCTGCCTCCCCTCCAGTAACCATCAGTTTGTTTTCTATAGTTATGAGTCTGTTTCTTGGTTTGTCTCTTTGTCTTTTTTTATCCTTTGCTTGTTTGTTTCTTAAATTCCACATATGAGTGAAACATATGGTATTTGTCTTTCTCTGACTGACTTATTTGGCTTAACATTATACTCTCTATCTCCATCCATGTCGTTGCAAATGGCAAGAGTTCATTCATTGTTATGGCTGAGGACTATTTGATTGTATGTACATACCACCTCTTCTTTATGCATTCATCTATTGATGGACACTTGGGCTGCTTCCATAGTTTGGCTATTGTGAATAATGGTACTATAAACACGGGGATGCATGTATCCCTTTGAATTAGTGTTTCTGTATTTTTAAGGTAAATGCCAACTAGTGTGATTCCTGGGTCATAGAATAGTTCTATTTTTAACTCTCTGAGGAACCTCCATGCTAGTTTCCGGAGTGGCTGTACCAGTTTGGCTTCCTACCAACAGTACGTGGTAGGTTCCCCTTTCTCCACATCCTTGCCAAACCTGTTATTTCTTATGGTTTTGATTTTAGCCATTCTGACAGGTGTGAGGTGATATCTCATTGTGGTTTTGATTTGCATTTTCCTGATGATCAGTCGTGTTGAGCATTTTTTCATGTGTCTGCTGGCCATTTGTATGTCATCTTTGGATAAATGTCTGTTCATGTCTTCTGCCCATTTATAATTGGGTTATTTGTTTTGGGGGTATTGATATATAAGTAAAATATATATAACTTCTTTATATATTTTGGATACTAACCCTTTATTGGCTGTGCCATTTGCAGACATCTCCCATTTAGCAGGTGGCCCTTTAGTTTTATTGATTGCTTTCTTCCTTGTTCAGAAACTTTTCATTTTGATAGTCTCAGTATTTTTTGTTTTTTTACTTTTTATTTGCCTTGCCTCAGGAGATATATCTAGACAAATGTTGCTAGCTGATACCAGCTGATGTCTGGTATCAGTGTCTCTTTAGAGAGAACCTGGGAGGGCAGCCCTGGTGGCTCAGCCGTTTAGCGCTGCCTTCAGCCCAGGGCATGATCCTGGAGACCTGGGATCGAGTCCTACGTCAGGCTCCCTGTTTGGAGCCTGCTTCTCCCTCTGCCTGTGTCTCTGCCTCTCTCTCTCTCTCTCTCTCTCTCTCTCTCTCTCTGTCTCTCATGAATGAGTAAATAAAATCTTAAAAAAAAAAAAAGAACCTGGGATGAGCTGTCAGCCACCTCATACTGAATTTCCCTCTGTAGGGACTTTTGAGATGGTCAGGGGAGCATTTCAGACAGAGAGGAGCTTATGCACAGAATGAGGCAAGAAGATAGCAAAGAGCAGGGCGTATTGGGGAAATTATAGTTGAGGCATATGGTGTATGCTGGGTGGAGAGGGAGTAGGAGGTGAAACTGGATTTGTCTACTGAGGGAAGAGTGTGAAGAGCTTCAGATGTCCACCTTAGGAGTGTGGCTGTGACCTTAGAGCCCTTCCCTTACCAGAATGCGCACATGCTCTATTAAAATAGATATGGTTGGAGGGGAAATCAGAGCTCTGTGGTCCTGGAGTTTTGGAGATTATGGGAGAAACAGGAAAAAAAAAGTTTCTTTTCTTTGGGTGTTCTCAGAACCTGTGAATACATTGTGAATTTTCCAGAAGTGGAAACAAAGGCACTGGGATTAAAAAAAAAAAAAAGAGTTAGTGCGTCCAAGAGATACTCAGGATGCAGGGTAAAAAACAATTGGTGACCAATGAGATGGTGGCAGGTGGGGGGGGCACAGGAGAGGTGTGGCAAGGGAGAAAAGGCATGAGACTAGTTTCAAGTTTAGGCTTTTAGGCAATGCCTTAGCATTTTTGGCACTAGAGGGATGGAGAAGATGAAACTGCTTTTATAGGAAGTTAGTAGGTTTTGAGTTTATTGTGGACTGCTTTCTTTGTGATGTTGGCAGGTGCCGATGCCCACAGACTACAAAGCTGGGTGGAGCCGAGAATTTCAAACCAATTGGTACTGATGAAGACTTCTAGAATTAGGTCCCAACGATGCAAATCACATTCATTTATACAAGTCAACCAGTCATGTTCTAGTGACGGGTGGAAGGGTAGAGGCCTCACTTAGCTCTTAAATGCTGACTGTTACATGCCGATTAGGCCCGTTGTCATGTTTATATAGAAGCTGTATCTTCTCTTGCAGGATCACTGCTTGTGCAATGACTATGAATAAGTATGTGGAAGAAAACGTATCTCAAAAGTCCTACACAACCATCAAGTATTTCATGAAGATGCTGAGCAGTGTCAGCGAGACCCTGATCTTCATCTTCATGGGCGTGTCCACTGTCGGGAAGAACCACGAGTGGAACTGGGCCTTCGTGTGCTTCACACTTGCCTTCTGTCTCATCTGGAGAGCACTGGGTAATGGTGCTTGTTTCCCAAAGGGATATCTGGCAACACTCACTAGAAGAATGGGGCTTGCTTCTTCTCGTGGCTTGCCCTTGGCTGCTGCTACTTCATCTTCTTCCTCTCCCTCTCCTCCCCATCTCCCCCATTCCACATGGATTCTTTTCATCCCCAAGTATCTTCATGACTCTGCCATCTGAATGACCTCCCTTGGCCTCCTTGAGTTCACGTTTTCACCCGTTATCCCAGAACAACAAACACCAAGGAAGGGTGAAAAGACTGTGGGGCTTGTCCTGTCACAGAAGCGCAGAGAATGAGTCTCACTGGTTTTGTGTTCTGGACTCACACCATCTGTTTTCTTTGGTTTTTGCTTTTCATTCTCAGGTGTCTTTGTCCTGACTCAGGTCATTAACTGGTTCCGGACGATCCCCCTGACCTTTAAGGATCAGTTCATCATCGCCTATGGAGGGCTCCGAGGTGCCATCTGCTTTGCGCTTGTGTTTCTCCTACCTGCTGCTGTGTTTCCTAGGAAAAAGCTGTTCATTACAGCTGCAATTGTTGTCATATTCTTTACTGTCTTCATCCTGGTGAGTAAAACTCTCTCTCCTGGCAAAGTCTCTCTGGTTACTGGGAGAGGAGACAAGACCTGTCAGGCTATCTGGATGAACTCCTCTTACAGGAGGCAAAGTGGCAAAGGCTTGTCGAAGCTCTGGTGGTTATGATGTTAAGGAAAATATTGCTTCCTTGTGTCACCTGATTATGCAGGGGCCTAAGAGAATCCAATTTGGTCACTTGGCCCACGTGCAGGAATTCTTATTTAAGGAAACTCAGCTAAGTGATCTAAGCATACTGCTGGAAACTTATGAACTGAGCTTACTAATCCTTGTCATTTGTCGAACTCTCTGACCTAGTAAATGTACTCATTAAATGCTACTTGTGTGATGACCTTCCAACAGCAATTTGACATTACTTGACTGCATAGCAGTGTGTCCCTTGAAAGGGTGGGATGCGTGAATATATGCTTAGTACCAGAGGCAGAAAGTGTGGTAGGAAGAATGCAGGTTGGCATCAAGATCCACACTTTGTCTATCAGTCTCTAAGTCAATAAGCCAGCCCTTCGGGGATTATATTTTGCAGTTACTCATGTAGTAAATATGTATTGGACTCTTGCTATATGTCAGACCACCCTCTAGGTACTCAGAATCCATGAGTGAACAAGATGCAGAAATATCCCTGTCCCTGTGAACTTACATCCCAGAGGGGATGCCAGATGCCTGACACTAGACATACTAAGTGAGTAAATATTATAGAGGAGATAAGAAGGTGAAAGGTTCTGTGCAATAAGAAGTGGAATGGTGAGTGAGGGGGAGCTCACTCACTAAATAGAATTGTCATGGAAGACGATGAAAGAATGACATTTGAGCAAAGGCTTATGGGTGGGGGAGTGAAGGAATTAGCTAAGCCAAAGAACAGTTCAGGCAGATAGGACCAAAGGTATGCAGGCAGTATGTTCCTGGCCAGTGTGGCTGGAGAGATGAGGATGAAAGCAGTGAGGGGGAGTCTCACTATCCTATGTCCTACATAGGATAAGGCCACACAAGCCCACGTAGGGACTGGCTCTTCACCACGTGGAATGGAAGCCATCAGGTTTTGTGCAGAAGCATGTGTTTTGATTGACTTTGTAAAAGGATCACCTGGACATTGGGAGAATAGGCTCCTAAGGGAGTATAGACACACTATTGCACGGAGGCCAGTGCAATCACCGAGCAAGACCAGCGCCCAGAAGGGTTGAGATCCTTGGATCCATTCTGAAGGTGGAACCTACAGGATCCCTGATGGGTTAGATGTTGATGTGAGGGCCAGAGCCGTCCCAGGGGACTCTGGGGCTTTTGGCCTGAGCAGCTGGGAGGAGAGACTTCCTCTCAGGTGAGAAGGGAGGGGTGTGGGTGGAGGGGATGGGACTCAGTCACAGGCATGCCAGATTAGGGGTGTCAATTAGACCTACAAGCAGAGGGATGAGTAGGCGGCAGGATACTGGCTGGGTCTGGACTTCAGGAGACAGCTTGGTCATCTGCACAGAGCTGGCATTTGAAATCCTGAGCCTGACAGGATTCTCAAAGGAGTGAACATATATCAAAGAAGCCAGTACACAGGACCAGGAGCTGGTCTCTAGGGCAGCCCAACCTTAAGACTGGAGAGAAGAGGAAGGCAGCCAAGGGCTAGTGATAATGACAGAGGTGAAAAGCCAGGAGGTAACTGTTTATTTTTTATTTATTTTTATTTTGTTTATTTTTAGGAGTACTTTTTATTTATTTATTCTTTGCTTTAAAGATTTATTTAGTGGGTGGCTCAATTGGTTAAACATCTGCCTTTGGCTCAGGTCCTGGGATCCAGGGTCCTGGGATCCAGGGTCCTGGGATCGAGCCCCGCATCGGGTTCCCTGCTTTGGGGGGAATCTCCTTTTCCGTCTGCCTGTACCCTTACCCCTCTTTGTATGCTCTCTCTCTCAAATAAATAAAATCTTTTAAAAGAACAAAGATTTATTTTTTTGAGAGAGATAGAGAGGTAGGAAGGGCAGAGAGGGTGGGAAAGGGACAAGCAGACTCCTTGCTGAGTGCAGAGCCAGACTGAGATCCCAGCCTGAGCTGAAACGAAGAGTCAGTTGCTTAACTGAAGGCGCCCCTTCAGGAGGCACTTTTTATTTATTTATTTTTTAAAAAGATTTTATTTACTGATGAGAGAGAGAGAGAGAGAGAAATTGGGAGAGAGAAGCAGAGACACAGGCAGAGGGAGAAGCAGGCTCCATGTGGGGAGCCTGACGTGGGATTTGATCCCGGGTCTCCAGGATCAGGACCTGGGCTGAAGGCGGTGCCAAACCACTGAGCCACCAGTGCTGCCCTAGGAGGTACTTACAAATTTTTTTTTTCTGTTTAACAGTTCATCACAGAATACTTTCTAGGTGGCTGACTCAGCCCAAGCTCTTGTTATATAATCTCATTTAATCCTCATAACACTTCTGTGGCACAGAACTCTATCACTGAGGACACTGAGGCACCGAGCCTGTACTCCAGTGCCTTTCCCAAGTCTACACAGATAGTAAAAGGTGGAATGGGGGCCAGTTCATTCGTACCTCTAAATAAAGTGCATAGTCGTTGTTCAATATTGTGACTCACTGTGCTCCTCCTCCTCCGCCGTTCATCAGTTCCCTGAAGAGCAGTTTATCCTTCATCCATCCATACCTCCTGTGCTGGGGACAGTGGGTTGTCCTGTGTGAGGAATCCTGGAGAAGAAGGCCTTGGGAGCCCCTGTCCTAAGTCAAGAAGTGTCCACTTCCTGTTACTATTTTTATCACCAGCGCCCTCCTACTGCACGTACCCACCAGTGATGGCTTACTTGTGCCGGGCACTCGGACAAGGCCTTCCCTATGTGTATTATCTCATTTCATCCTCACAAAACAAACCTTTGAGAAGGAACCCTGTGAGGCAGAAAGAGAGAAAGGAGGCTGACCCAAGGGCACACAAAAGTCAATGAGAAAAGCTGAGGTTGAGCCTGGGACTCTGACCCACAGATGTGCTCAGAACTACTGAATGCCAGTGACTTCACTCAGGAGACGTGATTTACCAGGTCATGGTTGGCAACAGTTTCAGTTACAGGAACACATATGAGTTTTGCTTCAGATACTCCATGGCCTTCTTATACACCTGAGAGAAGCAAATGCCCCTGTCTTTATCTTTTTAGTAGAGTGTTTATAGGATCCTTGTAAAAAGTCCTCCAATTTGCTACTCCCACACTTTACCTGGGGCAGAATGGTGCATTGAATCCATTTTGCCTTGAGCCTTTTAATCTCTCAGGAGCACCCTAGAGCATCAGGCTTGAGGGGAACAGTCAGGCGGGGGTGAGTGACTCATCACCTCTCCTAGGCCGGCTGCCTTGTCCTTAGCACTCCCAGTGATCCCTGCCAAGGCTTAGTCAGTGCTCTCAGAACTTAAGGTGTCAAATACAAAAATAGAACCATGTTAGTGTAGTGTAACTAGGAACTGGGTCATTTGGAGATGTATATATCAGCTGCTAATCATCCACATAAGTGTTTCTCAAACATCTGTAGTGCAGAACCGGCCCCCTCCCCTGGCATCAGGGACACATGCATTTGTAAAATCCAAGAAAAATGACCAGAAGGGAAGATGTAATTCAGGAGAGGACATACAAAAGATAAGCTCAAATTTTTTAGTTAGTAGACCCAACAGACATAAAATCACATTTCTTCAATTAGAACAAGCATAGCGTAGGGAAAAGGAAAGAATTACAGAAAAGTATACTGTTTTTCAATGAATGTGTGCATAGGTGATTAATATAGAGTATCATTATTCTATTTATAATATCTTGGCTTTTGGGAATTATAAATCAACCAGAAGATATGGGTGAAGGTTAGATTCCCCATCTTCAAAGCATACACACCCACTTTGAATGAATAGTGTGTCTATCAATATTTAACTGTGATTAACAGTTTTTGATGTGACAAATGAAAAAAAAACAGGCTACAAACAGAGTAGTTTAGATGTATTGGCTGTATTTGGCACCGTAAACATATTAAATTAACCCTTTAGAGATTTTTCAGGGAGTCCATAGTTGGAGTCTGTAAGCATACCCCATGGACAGTCTTCTCCTCTAATTAGGTTTAAGCTGGCAAAGCTCTGTCTGATGCTCACTTGGAAGAGGAATTTCTGTAGTTCCACATACTGTAATCTCCTGCACTGTTGTCTGACCCACCCCTTTGTGTGTACAGATTGGAGACTAATGGATCTGGCTCTTAAGAGGCTCTGGGTTATGAACACACATGTGCATACACACACAAATGCACACACCACTCCCTTCAGTTAGGATCTTTTTTCTCAGAATACATCAATAATTAAGGAACTCGGAGAAAAGAAGCTGAAAGAAAATACTTAATGGGTTATAAACATAGTAGGAATAATTAATTATAATCTATGCATAATGTGTTGCCTTCTGATTAAGGACTATGCATTCTTTTTCAAGTGACAACTTTTATGTTGATGGATCTATCATTAAACTTCTAAATGTCTTCCCCCCTTTTATTTCAATATTTCTTATACAGTAGGTCTTCCATCCCAGTATTATTGAGTTAGCACTGTCTTATAGAATAGAATTCCACGTGACATATGGTTTATTATCTGACACTTAGATTTATAATGAGAATTTTTTAACATTCCTTGAATCATATTGATAATTAGGAGAGTAACCTCTTGATGAAGAACATTAACATGTTACCAGAATACAGTCTTGCTTGTGGAATATTGAATGAGTAAACAATTGTGATTCTTTGGGCACATGAATTCATTTTCTTTTAGATAAGATTGGTAACATTACATAAAATATAAGCTGTCTCTCGTTTTAAATTTATATTCAATATTGGGGACAAGGTAGAGTCCAGTAGTAGAAAACACTGACGTTGGAGCAAGGCTGTCCTGGGTTGACATTCTGGTTAATATTCTGATAGTTATTGCCCAGAACAACCTCTGTGAGCTTCTTTTGACTTTAGGGGCTCTACACTAGGCCTAGAGCCTGCTAA